ATATATATATATATATATATATATATATATATATATATATATATATATATATATATATATATATATATAATATATTTACGAAGTTACCTTTAATGACCACATAATTCTGTTATTGATATCTTGAAATCAAAATCGTATAACTAACCGTGGAAAATATCTTTGGCTAGAAGAGTTTAATTAATGTACTTTCGCTATGTTCTGTATATATATATGTACACACATTTAAATATTTGTCTATACTATATATCTATTTACATATTCTGTACTTATATATATGCTCTTTTCTCTTATTTGTCATTTTATTATGTTCAAAAAGTATAGATAATAAATTTACACAAGTGTCTCTACCTATCCATCTTACTTAATATCACATAACAGGGCTACACCTCGGAGTGTCCAGTGCCGAGGATTGTGATCTGTCTCGAAATCGATAGAACCCACGTATTTTGAGTCGGTTCTCTGAGGTTTTCTATATATAGGGCATTCGTACAATTTCGGATCTTTGCCGGCGGTGGTATTTATCGCGAAGATGTAAATAACTGGCATTTGTTCGTAGAGGACTTTCGGCCTGCTCTCGACGAGTTTGCCTGCTTTTCGGTCGAGCGATGCACCCTCGAGAAACAAGCCGTGAACGTAAACTCCTTCTTGTGGTTGATTTTTAATATCCTCTTTGTTATAACGCGTTATCACATTTTGCAGGACTACAGAATCCAAAGCCCAACCCTTGTGCGCCCTGGTCACTTCCTGAAATTTATTAATTTATATTTGTAATTTATTATGTTTTTTTATTAATTTATGTATGTAATTGTAATGTATGTAATGTAATGTATGTTATGTTATTTATTAATTTATGTATATAATTTATGTTAATTTATGTACAAACTACTGACTAATACTGACCCGATTAATATATATATATATATATATATATATATCAAAGTCTGATCGACATTAAGATGATTTAACTAAAACAAAGACGATTACTTCGAACATTGTGTATCATCTCTCACCTGTCTCATTGCCGTTAAAAATCCTTGTGGATTAAAAAATCCAGTCATCCAGAAAACTCTTGGACGTCCGTGATTGCACCACTGTCTGAACTGATAGTCTCTTTCCAGAAGCTCCGTGTACCAGAAACCTAAAGTGGCTGACTCCCAAGATATCTTCAACCATTTGTCCGGGATACGCGCGTCGTACATTGAATCGAGTGATTTTCGCAAGCCTTGACTCATCACGATAGTACCCTCGATCGCTAGTTTCAAGTCCGTCAAAGTACTTCGTACTTCTTTGAGTACTCTCGAAATCCTTAAAAAAGAGATAGTTGAAATTATAACAATCGCTTGTTGTTTCTATATGTTCTCGTCGATGTCGAGTAATATTCCGCGACAGACGTCGATGTCGAAATTTCTTTATGTGCGATACAACAGACGCGAATGTGTACTTACCGGTCTATTTCTTGTCTCAGAAATATGTTCATCGGCAGTAACGGCCCCATCCTCTGAAGAGCTTCCTTCACCTCGAACGAGTTGTATTGCTTAGGTAGCTTGGACAGCATGTCGTCGGCTAATTTATACACGACGTTCTCTCTGGTTTCACCACCCTGTGCGCCACCCTCTTTCGGCTGTACGCTGAGAATCGTATCGAGAATACCCTTCGCTGTGTTGATCTGGTAAGTGATATCAGCGTTTGGATGCAAGCCGAAAACTTCCGGAGTGTCGGTGGCGGGTAAACTGTCGATGTAGTCTACGTATCCCTGAAGATTTCTCGTCTGAGGTACCCTATATCCCCGATAGAACTCGAAACCCGGTCGTAATAATACGTCGCAGAACCAGACGTGTGTGAAAGTCGTCAGTAAACGCTTGTCGAAATCGTCCGTGACCCTGCCGCCGTATTGAACCTGAAACGACGCCAAGACGTTTGCAAAATGAACGACAGAAAATGTAGAGCGCTGTCGAATCGTTGCATATCGTTCTTTTACGCGAATAAACACCCAGTAAACACAAAGTACACATCGACATTATAATGTCAGTCATATGATGTATTACGTAACTGTTACTTTGTTATATAACAAAGTAATAGTTACATAATATACCATATGATTGAGCTAACATTGTAATATGGATGATACTTTGTGTTTACGGGGTAAAGACATAAATCGCGACCTCGCCGAGCATATAGCAGACAGTCGGCCAGGAAACACCCTTCTTAGGATCCATATCGTCTAGATGATTCTGTATAAACTGAATTGACGCCGCAAAATCCGCCTGGTTGAACTCATAGGGTATATTCCAGCCGAGCGGTCCGAATTTCCTTCTCTCTTGCACCACCGTGTGCAGAAACGCGACAGCGTATAACAAAGGTGGCCATTGGGATTGCGTGCTGTAATCCAGGGTGTCTTGAGTCACTTCTTGATAAGTTCTCTTTAAGCTAGCTCTTATGCCTTGGGGTGGTTCGTTCGTAAACTTAATCGCTATCTGAAACAATTCGTTTTAGAGTTCGACACATTCACGAAATCGTTTCGCTTTTCCTCGTATTTACAATCTCATGGTTCACGCGTTTTCGCGCCAAGAAAACAGAAATTCAACCTGTAGCAAGCCGATGGGAAACTGAAGGTGCACTTCGGTGGTCATCCAGAGTCTGAACGCCTCGTGTACAGTCTCCGTTTCGACGAGAGCATCCATCACCTCTGTACAGAACGGCAAAGATAGATGGATATTTTGCAGAAGAACCCAGCCGCCCGTGTTCATGGCCTCGTTGATCATTCTGCGTGCATGAAACTCTTGGCCTTGTCCCATGGACACTGAGTTTAACGCTGTGAAATATATTAAAAACGTCCTAGTCAACAGAAAACATTAGATCAATGTCTTGAAATATTGATTTTATGTGTATTTCTCTTAAATGCGTTTTCGTTTAATATTTTAAAAATATTTCAAAGATATTGCTAGGTAATATGATCTCTCTTTAAATATTGCAAAAATTTCCTAGAAATATTGAAGTGCCAAAACTATTTATAGTAATGTTGATACAACGTTAAAAACTATACATCAGAAGGCGTTATACACTACTGAATATAATTGCGATAACGTTCTATCAATGATTTTTTGCTTGCTGGGATTATTGAACATTAAACACACAAGATTTTGGTTCGTTATAAGAAAGGAATCGTTTCGAACGTGACTTACAGATCGTTTTTTGCTTAGCTAACGCTGTAATCTGCGGGCTCGGATCAGAACCTATAGATAACAGGCATATCAGCGGCGTTCTGGTCTCGGACTCTAGCCATGTCGCCTCTAAATCTAATATTTTAGCCTCTCCGTACTCTTTGCCTAACGACTCGGTGATGTATTTTCTCGCCTGTGACAAAGTTCTGTCGGGGCTCCATGATCTGATGAGCAGCAACTTACGGAACACATCGAGACTCTTCTGATAGCCACACGGCAACTCTTCTTCCTCTGGCTTTTCTTTCTCGTACCACATTCTCCATTCCCTCTCGCTGAATTCGATTTTTGTCAGGATATCGCAAAACACCTCGAGTCGGCTTATCTCGACTAAATTCAGCCATGTTATGTCGAGTATCCACTTGAACGGTTTCGGCGTCACCGCGTTGAGATCCAAGGATGCGCCGCCTTTGATGAAGGCGTTGAATTCCGCGTGGGAGATGGTGCCCTTATAGCAGTCTATCTTCATACCAAGCATCAGCGTAAACAGCGATTTGTGTCGCTCGTAGAGGCTCCTGAGAGTGAATGCCCAAACTTCGTATGTGAGGTGACGTAAAATTATGTTGATACGCTCGTGAGTGATAGGGCTCTTCGTGGACTTGGTGATCGAGTTGTCAAAGATCGTCAGGAATTGCCGCAACGAGTTCTGGTACATTACATTGACGTTGCTCATCTCGACTATCAGAAAGTACAAGATAGATCCTCTCGACGCGACCGCGCGGAACTCCTCGCGTGCCAAAGTGATCTTCTTTTCAGTAAGGGCAGATACCTGCAGTTTCTCGTTCACCGACTCGGCCGTGGTCTTGGTTTCTCGGAGGACGGTTATCAGCGCCTCGTCGTCTACCAGAGAGCCTTCCGAGGACGTGAGTCTATGCAGCAACGTGCTCTCGAGCTCCTTCATCGAACGCTGGTTGGTCATGACTGACTCGAACAGGGCAACCCTTTCCGCTTCCAAGTCAGCTTTTTCCATGAGTATTACCCGACCTAATAGTTGATCTTCCAAACCTAGCATTGTCACCGTGAAGTCGATGATCGACGTTTTCGCGGAGATCTCTGGGCTGTACGCAGGATTCGGGAGTTTGGTGGTGATGTACAGCATGAATCCCGGCATTACGTCGCACTCCTTATCTCCAACGATAACCTTCTCAATGGAGCCTGACTTGATAAAATTCTTCTCGAGCACGTTATCCAGCACTGGATCGAGTTCCTCCGCCACGTCCTCGATCAGCAGCGGTCTGCCCAACGAGAGACTGTCCTCGAGGTGAGTGCGGAAGTACTTGTGATTTAGCGAGGTGATCTGCAACTCGTTCGAGCTCTCTTTATTCTTGATCCACATCTTTCCCTGATTCTGAGGGTCCACGAGAAGCGGATAAGACGAAGACTTGGTGACGATAAGCGCGTTCTGCACGGACAACTCGTCGTTCGGCAGTCCTTGAAGAGTCCATTCCGACATGGTCGCGCTGTCGACTAGCATGTTAGTTATATTTAGATTCTTTGTGAATGGTATAGATTTCGCGGTCAATATATTCATCCATTCAGTCACTAAGCTGGCTCGGTATTGTTGGTTGTAAGGTCCACAGTATGACAAGAATCCGGTCGCTAATAGAACGTCTCCGACTAGTCGTCCTAGTTGGATCTTGAATTCTCCGCTTTGCTCGGTCCAGCGAATCTTTTCGCCGCCTAGACCATTGATCAGAGCAGTCGCAGCCGTCATCTTCCTCAGGCACACGTTCGCAGCCTCCGTCAATCTTTGTTTCTCCGCCACCGCGCTGTCGTATTGCTCTTTGACAGATTGCAAAGCCATTTCCCTCTCGGACAATTCTCTCTCAGCGTTTGCCAAGTCCTCCATCGCGAGCTTTAATCGTGCTTCCTGCAGTGCCAAATTCGCCTTCAGCGGCAGTACTTCCTTGTTGACACTGTGAAAGAATGCCATCGCCTTGGTCCATGATAGCAAACCAGCGACGTCGCCGCACACTCGCCTCGCCGTTTCCATGTTGTAGTCCTCCATCTTAAAGTAAGGTTGCAATAGCTCGACCATTTCGTTGTTGATTATGTCCTTTGGATAATTTTGCAATTGCAAGAGGAACGTCGTACTGGCCATGAGCTTCAGGGATTCTGCCCACGAGGGTTTGGGACACGACGCGGCGACATCGGGTACTACCGAGCCGATCTTACGTTGAAATAAAATCAATACGCAGTCCATGATTCTCATGATGAGATGCGGCGGTCTGCCCAACTTCCTCACTGTCGCTATGTGAGCGGGTTTGATAGTGTTCAAGGCGGCTTCCGCTTCTTCTAACGCCGGTTTCGCGGCTTCTAACTTCTGCTCGGCCAACGCCTTCTCGTCGGCTATGCAGGCTACCAATTGTTCCGCTTTTTCCTTTACTCTTTGCACTTGATTCTTGAAAGCCTCGGCTTGCGTAGCTCTCTCCGTTACCTCCAGAAGTACCTTCTCGGCTTTCTCAGAAGCTTGGACCAACTCTTGTTCCATCACGGCTAGGTCTCTCTTCAAGATCTCGACCGATATCGAGGCTTCTTCGAGCTTCGCTAAACCTGTATCCATTCTCTTGGCTCCTTCGCCGAGTTCGTGTTGCTTGGATCGATAGATGTTCTTATAACCGCCGATGAAATTCAAATAAGACTTCGGAGTCACGTGAGTGGCGCGCCGAAATCGTTGGAAGTATTCGACCGAGGTTATTGAAACGATGTCCTGTATGGAGCCCAATGCGTTCACCAATTCAACCTTCACCTCGTTGGCGCAGGCGATTTCGAAGTCGTGAAGGAAATGCTTGGCGACCAGGATTAGAGCGTCCTTGGGCCAAGGTTGAAACCAATCTATGGTGCAGCCTGAAATGAGCGCGGGGAATCGCTGCGCGCGATTCCGGAATTTCTCGCCGACGGGCGAGAAGCAGAATACGACATGTAGGTTCTGACAGGTCCTTTGCAGAAAGAAGTCCATTACTAGCTCGTTATTGAGAGTTCTCTTGGGATTTTCTCGTCTCAAGATCGGTGTCAATTCCGAAATGATCTCCGCTTGCTCGTCGCGTGTGAATAAGTTACTGATCACTCCAGAACTCAGGATATTGTTCAGATATTCGAGGAAACCTTCTTCCTTGATGTCGAGATCGGTGAAAATAAATGTCGTACCCTTAGCCTGAACACCGCAGGTGCGATATAGAAATCTGAGATCCTCTAAGAAATTGGCCACGTTGTACGATCTAGTTAGAGTGATTTGGAATGTCTTATATCCGGCGATGAAAGAGGATAGCTTCGTAAGACTTTGCTTGCCAGAGCCGCCAACGCCTACTAGCATCACGTTGCCTTTCGGATGCCGAATGACTCGGGATATCTTCACCAAGTGTAGCATTGCGTCAGGGAAGAATACTAAGTCCATTCCGGCGCCTCTTTGCATTTCATTGAACTGCACGAGAAACATGTCCAATCGATCTCGTAATACCTGCTCCTCGTAAACAGGTTCGTATACTTTGGGAAGCTCTACATCCGCGTCTTCACCTTCTTCACCAGTCGGTTCCGGAGCATCTCTGCGATCAAATCAGTGTTATTGTACGCGTTGACTGTTTATGATCTGCTATTACTGTTATTTTCGTTACTACGATTACATACCTCATGAAATCGACAAACGCAGGTTCTCGATTCAACATTCCCACGTGTTTCCCTCCTAAAATCTCGCCCACGACGCGAACTACCTCCGCGTGAAACCAGTCCTTGTCGCTCTGTAACGTAAATCTGTCGCTGAACACCCGCGTGCACTCGTGTTTCCAGAGCAACATCAGTACGCTTTCCTTGTCGATGACTGTCGACAACGTGCCGACCATTCCTTGCCAGATCCTCGAGAGATCCCGAAGACTAAACACATAATGGAATTTCGCCGGCGTCGGCAGCAACTTCGATCGCGTCCTTTCCCAGAGTATTCGCGTCAAGGGTACCATTTTCTTCACGAGCTGGCGCACTTCCTGCGAGAACCCTCTCTTGACATTGTAATGTCCTTCTCCCAGAACGCTAAATATCCGGTCGATCGACGTGTTGTCAGGCAATGTGCAATTGAAGATGCTAAACTGCCTCTTGAGTCTCGAGGGAATGTCGTTTCTGCCACCGCCAGGTTGACACATGGCCGCTAAAAAAGTCACGTCGATGATAACGATGAAATCACCAGGCTTCTCCAAGGAGTAGAACCCTTTCATGTCCATCGTTTGCCGAACGATCTCGTTGGTTATCTGATCACCCCATTCATTGATTTGCGGCAGATTCACGTCGTCTACAAAGATCAACATCTTTTTGCCACCCGGTGGCCCGAATGTATTTCCCAGACGTTTCTCCACGTAGCTCTCGATGGTCTTTTGAAATTGATATGGGCTCGTGGCCGAGCTGAAATTGAAGGAACGACTCAGAGTCGTGTCCGGATTCGCTTTCTTCATGTATGACTTCATCATGATGGTCTTGGCGGATCCCTGCTCGCCTATCAATAGTACAGCCTTGTCTTGACGGCCGATAAGGTCGATTAGGTATTGGATTCTCACGTTATCCGGTATGGGCACCAAAACGTTGCTGTAGTCGGGTGTTGAGTACTCGGGATAGATGTAATTGGTCACCATGCTCGTCCAAGTGTCCCATACGCCCTTATCCGTGACGAAGAAATCGAATACCGTAGCGTCCAAATACCTGTCGGAAGTTGGAAGATCCAAGGTGTCGAAATTCTCACGAAGATACTTGTCGTACTTCAATCTGTCGGCGGTTTCTAGCAACGCCCCTATGCTCCACACTAACGCGAACACGTAAAGGCGTCTCAGATATTCTGCCGTTACCGGATGGGGCTTGTCTTTCTCTGTTTCTTCGTCCTCAGCTTCCTCTGATGTTGTCTCTACTGGTATCAGACCTTCCAGCAAGCATAGCATTTGTTTCACTATGTTGCATTGCAAGACGTCGATGACGAGTGTCAGCGTTTGAGTGCTCCATGAGTAGACCTTGAAATCGAATATTCATTTGTAGTTCAGTTGTTAATAATTTTCGTGCACTTTAATCCAGCTCTCAACTTACAAGTAAACCTACCCAAAAAGTACACTCCGATTTTTTCTAATTTGGCACAAATGTAGTACAAAAAATATTTAGGTCATATTTTTTTATTTTGGCCCACTTTGAGTTTCACGGGCAGTTTATAGCTTTTTAATGTTCTCGCTCCTATCATCAACAAATACAACAAAAATGCATAAGAAATAAAATTGAATTGAATACAAGATATAGTTAAATAATTTCAACAAAATCGGCATAGCTGAGACACGAACCATTCTAAATTCTTTAGCCGAGATTCCAACCGAAATATTTCAAATCTGTTAAATTAGTTAAAAATGGTTCGAATCTCGGTCACACCGAGAAATTATTTGTATAAATAATTTTTTTTCATTTATAATAATAATTTATAATTTAAATAATCATTTATAATTTAAATAATTTTTTAATTTTTTATTTTGCTTAAACATTTTATTATTTATACAAATAATTTTACACATTTGACCTCATATTCATAATCAATAAATCAAAAACGCCCTGTATCCAATTTGATTTCTTATGCATTTTTATTGCATTTATTGATGATAGGAGTGAGAAAATTAAAAAGCTATAAACTGCCCGTGAAACTCAAAGTGGGCCAAAATGAAAAAATATGACCTAAATATTTTTTGTACTTCTATATTTGTGCCAAATTAAAAAGGAATCGGAGTGTAACTTTTGAGTAGATTTACTTGTTAACACTCACAGGCCTTTTATTTTAAATCTCTTTTACTTGATTATGTTAATCATGAAATCTAATAATAATTGAAACTTAACTCATATGTTTCCATAAAAATATCGTACGGTATTATTTTATAATTTTCGCATCAAATTAACGATTCGGGATCAATCGGGATTTACCTGAGCGAATGAATCCGCGAACAATTGATCGAGAACTTCTTGTTCCAACGTCGATCGTGTCTTCAGCCAAGCGGTGACAACTGGATCCCAGTCCAATCCTGAAGAGCTCATATACACCATGCCGTTTCGGGAAACAGTCGCAGGACTTGCATTATCGATGTTGTGCGGCTCGAAGATGATTTTGCACGTCGGTGCCATTGATAGTCTGTCGCCATTAGCCAAAGTCAAGGTTTTGTTATCGTCCAATACGGAATTTAAATTTTCTATCCAGATACTATCAACAGGACCATCGAGCACCAGCCACACGTGCTCGCCTTTCTTTAATTTAAGTGTTTTGCGCCATAGAGCCGAGAAAATCCCATCCGTCCAGTCATTGGTGGCTACGTCCAAACGGCCGAACATCTGGGCGGCTGTTATACTCTTAGGATTCATTCTCATTTCCCTGTGCAATTAAACGAACTGTTCGTGACTTTGACAGATCAAAAATCTTTTCGAGATTATTTTTGACATAAACTCCACGTTTGCAAAAATTAGTTGTTAAAGTTCCAAAGTGTTCTGATCAATCTGTGAACGCTACACAGACTGTAGTATATTACTATATTGAGAGAAAAAATACTTGAAAAACAGTAAATATTCATTTGGTGAGTACTAATAACATATTTACTCAAATCGAAATTCTTTTATTTAAATAGAACAAACAGTTACTTTCATGAAAAGCTAAGATTTTCTTAAAATTAAAAAAATATATAATTTTTCGAAAAATATTTTACATATATTAGTATAAGTAAATATATATTATTCGTAACATTTTGAATAAATATTTACTATTTCTTAGATATTTCTTCTCTCAGTGTAGTATAATATTAGTACGATGTGTATTATGTTTGTACCTGTGCGAGTCGCCACATTGCGTTAATGCTTTCATCAAGGTATGTATGCAAGTCGTCTTGCCCGCACCGGTCGGACCTAATGTCATGATGCCGTGCCTCACACGTTGCGTTTCATAAAGCTGTATTAACTTCAGCACCCACGGTGAATGATAAACCAATCCATCTTGCTCGACTTGTTCATTAATGGCCGCCTCTAATTCCGGGTATGACGTTTTCTCCAAGACTTGATTAGGGAAGAGATCGGCTACGAGAGACATGAAGAGTGGCTCGTCCTCGTCTACGAGAAAGTTTGTGTACGTCACGTTTTAACAATTATTTCTCGACTAATCAGTCTTTCACGTGAACCAGCTTAATCACCTATAAGTTTCGAGAGATTCATATCCCGTAGAACGCGCATGACTATCGTGCTCTCCGAATCCTTGGAGTTTACTCTCTTGGCTGCTCCTAAAGTCCTCAATACAGACAATATGTTTCGCAGACCAAAATCGTAATGAACCTGTGAGGGGATATCTTAACGAATTACACCATTGCTTTTTTCTCTTCAACGTTGAAGTAAATTGAAAATTTAGTTGAATGTAGTTATCAAGTAGTCAGTTTAGAGTTAAAAAAACTAGAACTATACGCGTGATTGAAAAATCATTTTATTATTATTATGATTACCTGTTTCGTGAGTTGCTCCTCACACAATTTGTACAGAGTGTAGAATTTTCGAGCGAGAGTGATGTTCTCGAGAAAGCCACAGCTCGCAAGTTTCACGCGTATGATGATCTGCCGATCGGGTACCATCATAGCCACTGTGCGAAATTGTATTTTCAAGTTTTCCGGCAGTTCTTTCCGTCCTGCATATCCCGGATTCTGAAATTTACCGGTTATTATTCAACGTTCATTCTTCTTATTTCGATTCGAACAGTGCTGTAACTTGGAATTCCACAAGTAAGAGTTAGGACATCGTCCGCTATTTGTGAGGAAGAAGTGAATGAGTAAGAGAAAATTGCAGCATGTTTCGATCTCTCTAAGAGCTTTTCTCTTATTCCTATTAGAGTTTCCCTCTCATTCCTATTCGCTTTTTCCCTATTAATGACGGACGGTTCACTTAGGAAACATCACGCGTTGTTCCAACTCTCACTTGAGGAATTCCACTTACCATGGTAATAAATATTCCAAACTCCGGACACATATCGATCTGATCACCGTCCGTGAAAACAAATTGTTTCTTCTTCTCCTTCTTCGCGGCGAGCACCACGGCGACTTGTTGCGCGGCAACGGATAAGACTGGCAATTCGATTCGATTGAATTCGTCGAAGCAACCCCACGAACCGCTCTGCGCCAGTCCTTTGTAGATACGACCTAATCCTCGATAATCCATTTGATCGGAGCAATTGAAGACTACGACATACTTGGCTAGGGTCTTCCCCATGTCCTTTACGGTTTCGGTTTTCCCGGTTCCTGCCGGACCGCAGGGGGATCCTCCCATTGACATCGATAGAGCTTGCGCTAGAGTTATGTAACACCTGAAAATGCAAAAGCAGTTAGGGTAACGCGTAGGATAAACGCAGTGTAAAGCGCGACTTGGGATTGAACTTACCTGTCGGTTAATGGTGTAATAACCAGCCGCTCGGTACATCCTAAGTATTCATTCTGATAAGTGAAAAGAACGTCCGTGATACATATCGAGGTCTTGTCCAGGTCTTCCTTGAAATAAAATCTGCACTGCTTCAACCACTCGAAGTCGTTCACAGATCGCACGTTCAAACGACACTAAATCAAATGGAACATGAATTATCACAGAGAGAGATACATGTCTGTGTGAAGGAAAATTTTCTCTCTTACAAGGGAACGTCGTGAACCCGAACTCTTTGATTTTGATACACTTTTGTGAATATGTAGAATAAATCAATACATGAATAACGGTATACTTCATTTGTGCTCTATCGCTATTTAAAGGTATAATTTACATTCTCAAAGTAAAAAGGACGATTCCACTGTTTCGTGTATTACTCCTAAATTAAAGGAGAAAGCATAAATAAAAAATATCTATAAAAAATTTATTACAGTGAAAAAGGTATTTTTTATTTATGCTTATGTCAATTTACAGCACTTAACTTACCATTAAACTTTTATTCGAACAATTTTTTTCTATCTTCTTTAATTTAGGAGTAATATAGAAAAGTGGATTTGTCTTTTTTACTTTGAGAGTGTAAATCACACCTTTAAATAGCGATAGGGCACAAATGGAATATACCATTCGTGTATTGATTTACTTTACATACTCATAAAAGTGTATCAAAATCAAAGAGTTCGGGTTCGCGGTATTCCCTTGTTAGTTTAACGACGTACCAAAATGTCGAAGATGTCACGCTGATGCACGTGTATAGTAATCAAGGTTTCGAATTTCGTTCGCTCTATCTTCATGAGATCCCTCGTGGTTTGATCGATCAAGGTGTTTAAAAGATCGAGGAATTTGTTGTTCGTTTCTACCATGATCTTCTTGTCCGCGCGAGCTTGAGCCAAGGCAAGTTCGCCGTCGCGTGTCCAAATCATTTGGATGCCTAGCAACCCTATCTGAGCGGGCATCTTGTCGAGAAATGTCAGCAGATTGAAATTCGCGTCGTTGATCATGGTGTAGCATTGTCGGATGATAGAATGCAAGGAGAGCTGTGACGTTTGCAGCAACTGCATCAGCCACGTTTCTACGGAGCCTTCCGCTCGCACTGCTCTCTCAAGCTGCACCGAATTATAAATTATTGTAAAGGAATATATGTGTATGAAAGATATTTATAATTGTTAAATTAAAAATTTTTATTTTAAATTCCTAAAATCTACCTGAACTTTGCATTATTACGTAGATCCGAGAAATTAACAATCGTTTAGAAACGTGAAATTTTTCAGATAAGCGAAATTCAACGCGATTTAGGGGACCGATTTTCTGATAGTAGTTTAAACTTAGATCTAAGTTTAAACTGTATTTAAACACATCAAACACATTGTCAGAATAGAGTTTGAACTTAGACATAAGTTTAAACTACTGTTGAATAATCGGTCCTTCTACACGTGAATTGTTCTTAGGTATGTGTACCAGGATCGTCTCGCCTTCCGATGAAACGATGGCTGTCATCTTATTGTATTCGATGTCGTGGAATTTTACATAGCGAGTGTTATCGAAGATAGAAAGCAGGTGATTCTGTATAGTATGAGAGTCAGACGCTTGACCAAGTATCTCCAAGAGTGCAGGGTCGGAAACGAAGAAGAATCTCGGGAACATCATGCGTTTCTTTTCCAAATAGCTGAAACGCGATAAAGAAAATCGTGCATCATCGAAAGTCATCAAAATGTACTATTAATTATACAGCAATTAATTATACATATATATACACACCCACTGAGGGACTTTTGACACAACTCCAGTTGCTCTTGTAAGTGCGGCAAAAGCTGTTTCAACAGGTCGTCGCCCACGCAGCAAGGCACAACACCGGGTGTCTCGTGGGCGCGCTGCATGATCTTTTGCCAGCTTTTGTCGATCTTGCTGAATCTTTTGGCCTCCTTTGGCAATTGCTTCGCGATATCGCCGCCCACGAATACCGCCTCGAGGTAGACCCACATGTTCTGCACGAGCAGCCACCTTTCGAGTATCTCGTTTGTATTCGACAAGTCCGTGAGCCACTGCTGTATCTGCTTCCTGAAGGGTGCGTTGTAGCGATTCGACATCAGCGAGCCGAGCACCATCAGACTGTCTTCTAACTGACCGATCGTCTCCGCGGTTGTGTCTCCCCTCAGCAACAATTCACCGCGATTGTTGAACGTCATGAACGTCAACTCGTGAGAGGACCACTCGTTCACGACCGTTCTCAGTTTGGCTTCGATATCCTTCTCCTTCATGGCCGATATGCAAATGTCTTCAATGTCCTCTTTGTTCTTCAACAACGGCGCCTCGAGGATGTTTTTCAGACAGAAGCCCTCACTCTCGAGATCGAACGTATATCCTGTGACCTCCACGATCCTCTGCCAATGGCGCGGCTTCATGGCCTTGTTCGCCATCAATTCGAGGAGGGGGCACATGTCGTTGAAGTCGTCGATCGTCTTCTTGAGCGCGAAGAACGCCGGCCATTCTTTCAATCCTTTCGGCAATTTGCGACAACGATTTTGGAACTCCATCAGCTCATTGTTGATCTCCTCGATATTGACCTAAACGATTCACAGAGTCATGACGTAGCTTCGTTCGTAAACTGTCGCGACGTGACATGTAACACATGACGTTCCTAAAGAACGTTAACAACTGTCATTATCAAGAAGTTTGCAATCCCTACCTCGCCCCATGGAATGTCGTAATAGCTGCTGACTCTGTCGATGACGTCGTTGTACAATTTGTACAATTTTTGTAGCAAATTCAGTTCCTTGCGGATCTGCGAAAGCTCCGGATAGTCTGTGATAGCTAGGCCGAAGAGCTCCTCGCCGCTCTGGTAGGTCTGCAACTTCCGCCACATACCGTCGAATCTGTTTTGGAACAGTATTTGCCTGTCGGAGGCATCTCGCGGACTCAAGCCCGGCTGCATCGGTCCCGACGATCTGTATTCCTCGCAGTACATCTCGTTGTCCGAGCGGAATTTCTCGAGATTGTTTCGCAAATCGTCCTGGAACTGCGGCTGCAGCGTTAACAGCAACACGTGGTTTTCGTGTGCCCGGGCCAGTAGATTCTGCCAAGTGTCCCTTAGGTTGTCGACCTGCTCTAAGCACTCCTGGTCAACGGGTACTTCGTATCTGGTGACTATGTTGAAGGCCTCCTCGATGGGATCGATTTTCAGCTCCATGTCGACCTCCTGGTCGCGAATCTTCTTCAAGGTATCCATAATTAGACGCACGTCGTCCAGATCGCGGATCTGGTGGTCTAGCTTGCGGTCCATCTCGTTCATCAGCGCGTAAACGTACTCCATTTCGCGACGATACTTCTTCTTCATCGCTTGCCCGATCTTGTGCGTGCAACCTGCGACGAGCGCGTCGAATATAGCGACCTGATTCCGTTGCTTTGTAGCAACAACGATACTCACCTTTGATCTCTGTGTAGAGACCGTACTTCAACTTCTCCGTCGACACGGCGATCGATGTGCCGAATATGATCATATCTGGTTCGGTGGCCAGTCGATCTTCGAGTTCGCTGTGCTTACGAAGAGTTGCTTCGAATTCCGACAGGGAGATCTGCAGTAACTCTCGCATGCTGCGCTCGTTCTTCCAGAGAAATTTATACGGCTTCCAGCGATCGAGGAATTCCGTCAAATCCTGCAAGTTAATCAAATCGTACACTGAGAGAAAAGACTGGTAACTATAACAAACTGCATTTAGTTACAGAAATTCGTTGAATCCTTAGTAACTAATACTAAATATGATAATAATTACCAAATATTTAATAGATCGGGAGTATGACGTAATTGCATTTACAGTAACATCAATTAAATAATTTAGTAATAGTTACTTAATGTTAAATATTTAATATGAAATATATTACAGTTATGAACAGATATTTGATAATTGTTATGAAATTGTTATATCCTACGTAATAAAAAATTCAATAGGTACGAGTTCTATTTTGTTACCAGTATAAGTATGTTTTGTTGCAGCACAACGAAAAATTCATTCATTTGCAGCTATTACATCGTTTCAATATCTATTATTACAGATGGTTGGTTGAACCTACCAAAAATTTTGTAACTATTACAAAATCACTTATTTTGCTCAACTATTCAATAAGTTTTATTTACCAAATATATTCTGGAAGCAAATAAATTTTACTTCTATCAAATAAATAATTTATTTTACAGAGCTAAATTAATTAATAAATATTGCCATAGCTTTGGCCCGCTATATTTACGTCTACCTTTTAGTAATAGTAACCAAATTTTGATAATATTTATTAAATCCTTCTCTCAGTGCAAGATCTTATGCTTTGTATACGTTGGTATTTTATATAATTTTATATAATATTAAATTTTATATAATATTTTTTATAAATTACCTGCCGTAATTCCATTGTGCAAGTGCTCAACATGCCGAGCAATTTAATGATCTCCTTGTTGTCCATGACCATCGCGTAGAAATTCATTTCTTGGACCGGAAACATGGGTCTCTCCTCAGAAAGAATCTTGTAAAGTCTACGTCTCCTGGTTTTCGAGTCTTCCGGTTCTTGCTTCACTTGCTTGACGTTATTGTGCGCCAGCAGCATGACATCGACCAAGTTCCTCTTGGATTGGTACGGCAAACTTTTCCACATATTCTAACGACGAGATCGTAACGATAGTTTTAATCATTGTAAAATCGGAACGTAACGGCAGTTTAACGAGTTTAACATAATCTCTTACCTTGTTACCTTTGACGTTCCATTGTGCCACTCCTTTCGCAACGCCCGTGATAATCTTTCCAACCGACGTCAACGCTTCCTGAACGTCGTCCAGGCTCGGCTTGACCGTCACCGTCGGAATCATCAGCGTCGCGTGCAACAGAAATATCGGATTCGGTGACGTCTCTGTAAATGCAACAATTTTTAGACGCGATACTTATACGAGACTGTGATTGCTTTTAACATGTTCGCTACAGCGTCACACATGTGTAACGCACTGATCTCTCACTTCAACCTCATCTTCACTCAACATTTTCAATTGTACATTCAGTATCAACGTCACATATATGTGACAGCAATTTTTTTTCTATATCCACAAAAATTATCTGAGTCTGTTTTCTGCAACTATATAAGAGGAAATACAATGTGTAGTCTGTGGATAAAATATTCGAAAAGAAACCGTGTTAGTGAACGTGTTAAGTGGAAATGATATTAAAAAGAGAAACTTATCGCGATTAACTTGTCGAATATTTAAACGTCAAGGAAATAAAAGGTTTGTTCAGAGCGTTACCCGAATCGAGTTCCCGTATAAACCGTTTTCTGATCGCGTCCAGAGATATCCTGGTGACTTTTATTAATACGTCCACAACCTTCCTGGAATAATATCGCCTCATCTCAGACACCGCGTTCCGAACCATTTCCTGCATGCCTTTGGGTAAAGCGCCCGGTGTCGTCAGTAACTGATGGGGGTCATCGAAGCAGTTCCACAGAACGGACCAATCCTGCTGAACGGTTTGTTCCACCGTCTCCCCGCCTTCCGCTTCTTCGTTTCAAAGCAAAATAATGTTTGCGATATCGATTTCGTGGCGTGGCAAAATATCACGAACCGTTTACGGAACAACGTTAATGAATCATGTTAAGTGCACTACCTTCGTTGATGAGAAAGTCAAACTGGTGGGAATTGGCGATGCTTTTGAAGCTATCTATCGCCTTTCTAACGAGTTGCAACACCTCCTCTACCGCTTCCTCGACCATCGTGCTCTTGCGATGCAAATCCACCGCAGCCATTCTACATATCTCTTCGTTCTTCTCCACGAACTCCTCGATCGTCCATGGCTGTTCGGACTCGGGTAAAGCGTGCAAAGTTACTTTCTGCATGCTCTCCAACACTTGCAAGATCCTGGTGAAACGGAAGTCATCAATGAATTAATTCGTAGGATTTGTTAGCTAAAAGGGGAAATTATGTTTTCGCAATTTTTGACCTGTTATCGTACACATCGTGCACTCTCGTGATCAGGATATCAAAGGTCTTGATCTGTTCCTTTGTGTTTTGACAAAAGTTCTTCCACTCTGGCTTAGTCCATGTTAAGACCGTTAAGCCGGGTTCCAAGAGAGACGCAACGCAAACCAAATGCGGTAATAAGAGCGGTCGGACTTCCAACTTGACGCGTTTGGCGGTAGAGACGAATTCCTCGATCATGAGTTGAAGCGAATCCGTAATCAACGTGAAGTAATCTCTCTTCGCCAATATCGTCAGTGCGACGATTGGGATTTCTAAGCCGGTCTTCGCCAGACAATCGGCTTCACGGAACAAGAGAACGACTCGATTTTCCAGATTTACCTTCACCTTCGCCGATTTCTCATCGACTATCAGCAACGGTCTGCAAACAAATACGCGATTTATGATGAAGAAAGCCGCGATTTGGAGAAACGAGATCACTTCTACGTTGCTAATTTTAAGGTCTGACCGTTTCAAACAATCCTCAATGACCCAAGAATTCTGATGCGTCCAGATCTCGGCGATGTCGATCTGATATTGTTTAAGAATCGCTATGGCGTGATTGTATCTCTTGATCAAGTCGTTAGTCAGCGGCAAGGTCTTCAGAACAGGATGATTCGACACGGACGTCGTCAACTCGTCCAGATGCACTCTAATAAAGTTTCAACTCTCCAACAATTACAAATATTCACACAAATGATAATTATCTCGCTTACTTCAAAGAATTCGCCCATGTTAATCGTCCAGCTATAGGTGGCATGTGTCTTGGTAACGGCGGGTCGTCCCTTTGCCGTTTGAATAGCTTTAGGACCCGGTCTATCTCTCTGTCGCAATATTTCACGACGACGTTGTACTTTTCCTCTAATCTCGCGAGCGGTATTTTCTCGCTGACCTTTTGTCAAAATTGAGATCGTCAAGAAGCGAGAATTGGGAGAATTGGGAGAATAATTTCTTGACTTTCACAGTATCTCTCGTGAATTTAAAGTAAAAGTATCAATTTCCGAACACGTATACATAAACTTGGAGATATTCTTAGATATATTCAATATACGTATATATATTTTATAACGAAAGTTAAAAATATTTGTATTAAAAGACCAAAAAAATAAGAGTCTCCAGGATTAGGTAAATGTCTGAGCATTGATACTTTTATAGGAAAGAGGAGAAGCAAAGTACTTTCGTTACCTTCTCGAATCGCGTTAAAAATCGTATTCCCTGCGGCGTCTCCCACACGTCGGCATAATTCTTCTCAATAATCTCACCGATGCTCTCCTTCAACGTGTCCGTTTTCGTCATAAAATTATCGTAGTCCGTATCAAAGTCGGTATTTCTCGGGTCCAGGTAGTCGTAGGATTTGCTAGTCGCGATCTTCTTCGCTTCCTCGAAGGTTTTCATCGCCTCGTCCAACGCTATAAAATTCGACGATCAGTGCATCAGTCGTACATCGATGAGACCGAAGTCAAGCGACGTACCTTCTCCGAGAAGCAGTCCCTCCATTCGTCTCTCGAAGAGAGTTTGGTAGTCTTGTATGAGATCGAACATGGTGAGAATCTTGCGAATTCTGGCACAAAAGGCGTCGAATCGGCCGAAAACGTGCGTCTCCGAGAAGGAGAATTCTTGTTCCGTCACCGCCGGCGAACATCGAACCAGTCTGTACGTTTCCCTGTAGGCTCTGTAGAACGAGAATTAAATTTGGAATAATCTTTTCGTATCCGAATGTGTTAATTGTGCACATACACACACGTGTGTGTGTGTGTGTTAGCGAATTATTGATTAATTATATAAATTTATATCGATATATACTTGTTTAGACGTAGGCAATGTTTCAGTCGCGAACGCGCGGCAACTCGATCTTGGCCCCAGACCGTTTCCCGACCTCTTTTTGTGACGTAATCTCGACAGGCGACGATCATCTGATTCGTGATCTTAATCATTAAAGAACTTGTCCTCTCCGAAGTGTTGTAGTACCTCGAGACGCTGTATATGAGTCGAACAGTCTGTAGTAATGACACCAGCGAATCTCGCATTTTCACCTGCAAAATAAAGAGTTTTTAATTGCATACAAACAGGATTATCTTTCGACGCTGTTATTATTCCGAGATAGAATACGCGCCGTACTTTTACGTTCTTCAGAAAGACTTAACTCACAGGATCGTCGAGATAGAGGCAATGGCAGCACTTTTCTAGCGCCTGGATGAACTTTGCGTTATCCTTCGCTTCGTTGTAGCAATAAGTTACTTCGCCCTCCGCGTCGACCCAGTCCTTGATCAACTTTGAGCGTGCAACTTGCAGGCACAAGAGTGACATGGTGACCTCGTGATCCTGTAATTCTCTTTGTGAATCTCTCGCAAATTTAATAGATCGCAATTTATTAGTTACCATTTACCTGCAAACGGTTGACCAGTTGACTAAATTGCGCGCCTCGTCGTTTCCAATATTCAAGTTCTTGCTGTGGCCCGGAATAATCATTCTCTCTCTTCACCTGCTTACTCTCCGCCATGAAGTCCTTGAGCTTTTTTATCCAGAGTCTCACTCTCTTTTCGACTTGCTCCACGGCGTTCTCCTTCGCCACGAAGTTCTTCGCTTCTTCGAAATTGTGCACTTCCGTCATCATCGGCCCGTCGTCGCTGAATATGGTACTCTCGAGCGCTACCTTTTCGCAAACTTCACACACGTCGAATATTACTTAGAGTTGTGAGTATAAGGATGTAAATCTACAGATTTAAGTTTCACAAAAATACCTTTAAGAGCGCTGCAAAAGGATCGCAAGCCTGGCAGCAGGAGACTCTTGATCATCGTACAATCGTCCTCATCTTCCGGGCCAGGATGCGCTAACGCGTCCATGAATACTTGATCCACGATTCGCTGGATGGAAGTTATTACGCCAACCTTCATCGTATCTATCACACCTGTGTAGAGGTCTTTCTGGAAGCCTTCCTCGGGTAGCGGCTTCGACACGCTGATTCTATGTATTGGCGATTTGATACAAAAAATCGCATTCGAACGGGGAATATTTTTGCGCGCATTAAATTGACGAAAATCATCAGTTACCTGAACATGTAAATGCAGATGCCTATGCAAGGCACCTGCCAGCCATCAGTTAGGAAGAGCTTTTTCTTTGGTGGTTCCTTTAGTTCCTTCTGCTCCTTCACTTTCGTTGTCGTGGTGTTCGGGGCTGATCTGGAAGCCGCAGTTTTCGGTTGCACCTTTAACGAAATTCTCGCTATTATTGCTGTCTTCAAGTGTCCGATGATCGACGATCTCATACCGTGTCGGTCGGAGGATCCGGTTCTTCTACTTCTTGGTAATACCAGACGAGAGTGGATCTCATGTGCGATGCAAACAGTAGGTTGATCTCGTCCAACATGTCACCATCGAAGACATGGTCCATGACCTCGTGTCGGTTCAACTGCGTCGCGTCCATCAAGAGTTGGAAGGTGAATTCCAAGCGGGGGTCCATCTCCCCCCGCCTGGCCTTCCTCTCGCATTCTTCCCGCCGTTTCTGCAAGCACAAGATAACTGTTGTTAATTGAAGAAACGAAAGATATTAACGACACCTCGATCTCGCTCGTATCTATCGAATTTGAATGCTCGTCGCTCGCATCTACCAGAACAAATACATCAGTCTTTTTTTGCGCGAAACGAACTGAAATGTTTCTGTCGCGATCCAATCGACCTGGAGAATATCCTCGGGACCTTCCTCATCGCTGACGTCCTCCGAATTATCCGATTTCTCTTTGATGATCTGCGGTCCTTGTACGAACATGAGTACAGGCAGATGGAGAGCGACACGTGGCCAGCGTTGGAAGCTGACTGAGCGACGAAGTGTAAGCCGAATCGAGAGTAACCCTCCAGGCTCGACGAATTCTCGCGAACGTCAGTCGAGGTGGTGCGAGGGGATGGCTCACAGTGCCACGGTTTCGTGTCTGGCACCGCCCTTCGACACATCGTTCGTGTCGTGTGGGCATTTTCGCGTGATTCGACTCCTAAGTAGTCGATATCTCGGATATCTCTTGTGAGATCGAGAATCGGCAAAGCCCAGTCGTATTTTCTATATTGACTCGCTACTCCGAGATCGTTGCAAACGCGGACGACTGATGACGTTATGAATTGTTTATCGGATTTTCTATAACTTGGTACTCATTACACAATGTCACGGTTCAGTTATAAAAATCGAGAATCGAGTGGTATTCATTGTACAGAACTGTAATGTATATAAACTATATACTCTCTCTATAGTGTAATAAACTAATTCTGCATACGAAACTTACATTGTTGTCACCTTGTACAGTTGCCATCGCCGTGACTTTTTCTCTGAGTGTGTAAAGGCTATATTAATGGCTATTACTTGAAACTCGTTTCAAGTGAGATATTCAGATTGAGCTTTAAATTAGATGTATGAGTTTCCAGTTGAATCGCGCTCACAGATATAGTGTCACATATATCATATAATTCGACGGAGAAACTTGTTCTAAATAAAGATCCGAGTATTTCTCGTAAAACAAATTTCAGATGACAACTATTAATATAGATCTAAGTAACTCAATAATATAATATATCCTAGACGACAAAGTAATCCCAAATGACATCGCAATAACGAGATATTCAAAGGGCAATCCTCGATGAACCAAGAATTGCTGCCGATTTAGATAGCGTATTAGGCTCATTAGAGCGCAATCAGGAAAATTGCGTGTGCTATCAGATATTCTTTCTTTTTCTGCCGACCATCTCGTCATTTAGAGTCACAGGGGGTCGGGAGGCAGGCGGAGATATATAATGTTTGCGAGATTGCTCGTGTGCATGTCGAAATTTCGCAGATGTGCCGCAGTAATGTTTCACATGCGGATAATGAACACAGCGTGGAATTAAGGGCTTATCAGTTACAACGATCGAATCACGCGACGCGTCGCAAACTGACGTGCCTCGTAAAACATCATACACACGTGATACTGCGAAATAGCGCGATACGTGTCGTATTTCACATGAAATAGAACGTCACACGGTAGATTGTCGTCTTGCGCTCACGAATCGAGTTGAGCGCACGCAATTTCTTTCTGTGCATTCGCCATGAAAGAGCGTCGCTCGCGTGCGAATTCACGTTACAGCCCTTATTAACCCGTTTCGGCACATGCGAAGCGATTCAATAAAGTTGCAAATTAGGAACTTTCGTATGAAGTTCGAGGATAAATCTTCCTCTCTTGACAGGTATTGCCCGCGTGGATTCGCGAAAGGGCAACGCGGAGTGCAGCAAATCGCGAGTTCGCGGGATCCCGACGGATTTCGGAACCGCATTTCCTTCCGTATGCCACTCGCGTGGTCTTTCACACTATTTATATGCCAGGATAGACATAAAATCGAAAAGTCGTGTCGCGCGTCGTTACGGGTTACGTGGTCGTTGACGTCTTGGCACCGGCTGGAACCGAGCGTGTCGCCCAAACAAATCGATCACACATGTCGAACGGATTTTTATAAATAGACTTATCGAAGCTATTATTGATGCTTCTCGTGGCTGGTCGATTTTGCTTACTCTGGCTTCGTCGCTGGTCTCCGTCATGTCTCGTGACGCGAGCTTCTTTTAGGACAGGACGGACACACGCCGAAACGATGCACGTTCTTATGCAACCTGCGCCGTAATGCGACATTAACTGCGTTTCCCCGTTGTTTAGCCCGCACTCATGTTGGTTCTTGCGCTCTGTCTGTCAATTTTTCCTCTCTCTCTCTCTCTCTCTCTTTTTCTACCGTCACTCTCATACTCTGAAAGTATTGTCAAGTGACATGAGATGTTCTGAAAAAATGGGCGAATTCGTTCTCACGTATATATTGTTAAATAACAACCGAGCTGCACTATAATTTATGCATTATGCGGGCGACGCAACGGACGAAATATAACGATAATGGGGCCGCTTGGCTTGACTGATCTGACGTTATTCACTTTTAAGGAGCTACTGGCGCGAAATAATATGGATGATTATTGATTAAACTATTGTAAACGCGACCACTTACCCTTGGAATATTGCCGGAGATTATTACGCGGTCGATAAATGTCCACGCGAGAAATTGTCAAAGTTCTAATTAACTAATTGATACGATTTGTTGTGTGTAGTATTTATTATTAGTATTTAGAGGAGCTAGTAGACATCTTAAAACTTCTTCCAGGAGAAAGACCAATTATTAATTAAACTTGACGCGGTTTCCGATATCGTGAATAAGGTCACATTATATATGTGTATGCTCCACTGGATTCTCCGAAATGTATTATTTCAATAAATTGAGTTGTAATATTGTCAAGGGATCGTTGGTATTGACTAACGCTTAGTATCGACTAACGACCCCTGCACGAGTCTGGTAAGTAGTACCAGTCTGTGCCAGGTCGGACACACTCGAAAGCGTAAGTTGTGTTCTACGTGCGTGACACGGTAAGATCAAGCCGGTTCTACACAGTCTACACGGCGAATAGCACGAGCTGTTTCGCGAGTAAACGACACGTTCTCCTTACGCGTGATCTCGATGTGATCTCGAGAAACACTGGGAGGATGCGGCTTGGAATGGGTATCGTGAAGGAAAGAAAAGAGACATGCTCGAGCTTCATATATCGAGTGAAATATGCGGCGTCTACGTCCTCTCGCTTTATTATTGGAATATCTTCTCGCTAGACTAATCTCTAGGACAATAATCGTTAATATTGTACCATTATCGTCGAATTCATATCACGTCGTGACGTATCTAGTACATTCATCGTTACGTTCCGATCGGGATTGCTTCTACGGCGACTCTCTTGTTTTCTCACTTTTATCTCTATTACGAGCTAAGTACTTTTAAGACGGATGCATGTGTTACACTAATGTGTTTTATACACCGCTGTTCGCGAGATTTGTAAATTTTTAAGTACACATATATATCGAGATAACATTCAACGTTTTATTTTTCTCTCTTTTTCTTTTTATTTCCTCTTATATCTTTCTCCCCGTTTTTGTTATTTCCTCGGAGTCGATCAACGATAACACTGATTCTGCGTCATCAACAATGCGCCCGCCCTAAAAAGTGTCGCTTATTAATTAAAGTCTATTTTGATTGCCTACACGCAAGTTAACATTTCATCGGCCAAATAAAACGGTTCACAAACTACATCGTGAGTGCTATAGATCGCGTGATAACAACAATAATGTGATAAACGTAACGCTTCGTTATGGTCGGAACTCATTTGTTTGGAACACAAGCAATCGAGAGAGAGATATGTATATGTATATATGTATGTATGTATGTATGCATGTATGTGTATATATATATATATATATATATATATATATATATATATATATATATATATATATATATATATATATATATATATATATATATATATATATATATATATATATATATATATATATATATATATATATATATATATATATATATATATATGTATAGACATACACACACAACATATGTATATAGAACAAATATATCACGTGGAATATATTACACGCCTAAGATTTGTTAAATTTATCCTCCTTCCACAGAGCATAATTATATATAACTAAGCTATACTCTCTTCTCACAATTAATCGATAAAAAATAGACGTTGTCTGTAAATCGTCTCATACGGTTGGCAAAACTGCAACTTGCGTCAATATGTGTTCCGTGTTGATTTTTATGCGCTGGTCAAAACCGCGAAGCATTCCTGACCTGTATGTAATTCCTCGGAAACGCCACTTGCCGTCCCGTATACTAAATGTGGTAATCCTAATCGTCGATTACGCCAGATCAAAATCGCGATTATGTCCCGGCAGATGGATTCATCCACTCGGCTGATTATGCGTTTGCAATCGATGATGTTGAAATTAGCCTCTGTGACGCGACACTTGTGCAGTTACCACACCGAGTATACAAGCACGATTCCGCGCGAAACGATCGTCGATCGCGATGCAAGGACGATCGCGAGCGTACGCGCGTCGCGCGTACGGCACGCGATCGATCGAAGCGATCCATTTTGCGAACAATCTGTTAAAACATGTAATAACAGCACGCCCGTGGTGAGGTACGTTACAAAACTAGTACAAAACTAGCAGCTAGGTACAAAAATGTAATTAATCGTTAATAATGGAGGCCGCCCGGGAAACTGCCAGGGACCAACTCCGTTCGCACACTTCATCTCCTTCCACATTTCATCGTCTCTCTTTGCGCTTTTTTACGTCTCGTTTTTGTTTATCGAAATCGTCCCCATAACGGGGACGGCCGGTTCCTCGCTCTCGTTTTGGCCCTACGATCTTGCTTCCTCGCGCACGATCATTCCTCACTTATCCCTCTTAAGCGACTTTCACGTGTTTAGAATGTCGTATTTGCTGAGGAATTTAATACTGCTCGATTTTGGCGAGTTCGCGAGTGCGAAGTGGCGCGAGATTTGTCTCTTGTCGTATACGAGAAACGGTTAAAGCACGAAGAAGAACTAACTGTGGCGATTTAATTATCAATTTCGATCGCTCGACCCTAAAGTCGTAACGTGGAGTCACCGAGAGCTCTCGTTCCGAACAGAAGTCGTTGTTTGAAGATTCCTTCATGTGAAGCATAGCTTCTTATCTTACATGTAAATCAATCGGTCGTCTATAACTTACAAATTATCCCATCCCGCTCAATGAACATCTCTCACGAAAGCCTCTCACGATTGGGGTTTGTAGGTACCGAAGCTCTGACGTCGCTGGCTTTTACGTAAACGGCGCGAAGCGCAAAAATCCAGCGACGAAGAATCCGCGAGAATTCTCCGTTGTGACCTTAGGGTTGATTGCGAATCGCAAAATAGAAGAGACGAATACATGCTTCTTTGATACACTTCACCTACCGAGGGAGAGAAAGAGAGAAAGAGTGAGAAAGAAAGAGAGAGCAAGGGAGAGAAAGAGAGAGAACAAGGGAGAGAAAAAGAAGAATTCTTCATACAACTAGATCTCGAACCACTGCGCACCGACGACAGTTAAATTACAGGGATAAAGCTTACGATATTCGGATCTGGACGAGAGAACCGGATCATGATCAGCGATTCTACACGCACGAAGAGATATTTGTAATAAAATTTGCGTTTACGCGTCGTAGCCGAGCCCGGCCAAAAAAGTTCGTCGCAGTTTGAGAATACACACACACACACATACACACACACATGAGATCCTGGAGAGACGTCCTTGTACAGGGAAACCGGATGCGTGTGCGTCAATAACACAAATTATTGTTTGCTTTGATTTGTTTTTATTTTGCATTATTCTCAGCGCAATAAGTAATGTCGTTGCGCGAAACCGCGTGCCCTCGTCGTCGAGCTGAGGCCGGAGGGGCAGAATTGTGTCTCGTCGTCAACGCGAATTACATCCGCCGTTACTCATTGTACTGACAATAATAACGTGTAACAATTTCCGGTGGTATACGAAAAAGAATGTGTGACAAATCGTTATGTCTCGTCGGATTCGCGCGATCCTCGAACATTCTCCCGAAGTGTTTCACTCAAATTGCGATCGAATCTGCATTACTTCTCTTTTTTCTTTTTAGCCGGGTTTGCGATTTACATAGCTAACGCTTGAACTAGGAGATAGTCGATAGTTTCTCTTTTTTTTTTGTTTTGCTTTGTTTGATTCCGTTGTATAATAGGCGAGATATCGTAATAGCCGTGACGGAGCGTCATCCGCGGGAGGAGCACCTGCCGTGCTCCCGTGCGGGAGCCCGTTTAAAAAATGTGACGAATTAAACGGCGTTAAGCGCCCGGATCAATTTACCTTAGAGTTGAAAAGTGTTGCGGCCTCGAGTGAGACGTGTTAAAGAGTCTAGAGTAAAAAATAGAAGCTGAAGAGATTCTTTCTAGACGTCGATTCGCGCATTACTGATCCTCGTTTCTCTCGGATGTTAAATTGTGGAAAAAACACCGGGAGTCGCGCCCACACATCCACGCGAGCACTACTCAGGAGCGTGATAACGAGGAAACACTGACGAATTGCACTCTTGCCTTTTCATCTAGGCGATCACGGTTACGTAGCGGTCCAACCTGGCTACGCCTGACTCCGGAATTCTGCGTTGTTCCTCATAACAGACGCTGCGAATCCTGACTACGTCCGCTAGTCGCCGGAACCTTCGTCGATCTGCCGCAAGACACAGACGAATCCTTCACCGAGAGAGCTTCCAGAGCGCTTTATCGCGGTCTAAAACGTCATTGTTTCTCAAAAGTTCACTCATTAATAATCCAAATATCAATTAAACGAACATTGAAGGAACTCACGACATCAGCATCATCGCCATCTTCCAGCGGTAAGTTTCAAAACTCGACAAATTGCAGAGGCATCGGAATTTTTCCCGTCAAAAGAGGCGAATTGTAACAAGTCCGTGTCTTGCAGTTGTATTTGCTGATTGTGCCGCGCCGCAAGCCGAGACGATTTGTTTCTCTTGCGCATCACGTATTCATTTTTCATGATTTTATTTCACGAAACCGCGTTTCTCCCACACCTTCGACACACATCCATCCTCTCTCTCTCTCTCTCTCTCTCTCTCTCTCCCTTTATCTGTGTTTTCTTCAAATATTTCGGTTCCAGCTCCGGTAAAATTTCTCGTCTCTCGAGTACCGTCCTTGTTCGAGATAGCTCTCGTGCGAAATTGCGCCTCGAATCGTCATAGTTCATGTAGACGTGCGAAAATTGGACGCAATATTTTACGCTTTCATGCAAAAAAGTCGCAACTAGCCGATTTTTGTATATAGCGCTTTGTACAAGATTAGTGATAATAAAGCTTACAGCGGGCGCCGAGTCAGGATGCCCGTAAAACTCGCGTGATCTCGATTAAGAATTAGATTAAACGACGACATTTTGATTTGATCGGTGGGAAAGGGTACTCCTGTTGACCCAGCACGTCCAGAAAGCTAACGAGAGCTCAGCTAGATTCCGAAGGGGGCATCCACACATACACGCACACATGCCTTTTCATACAAACGCGCGCGCGCGCGCACAAACAACATACAAACAAACACAACATACATACACATACACACACCTTCTCTTTCTGGTCAAGCTGGAGGATCCGTCCTTGATGAGAAAGAGAAGGCACCAGAAAGGGAGAGCCGGCCGCGTCACGGATGTGAGAGAGGAAGAGCGTTAAAAAAAGGCGCAAACGTTCGCACGCTCGGCACTCGATTCTTATATCCGTCGAGGGCGTTCTACGGGTACGACGACACTTCGACGACGCAGATCTCGTCGCCGACGACGCGTCACATTCGTAGAGGCATCTCCGATAATTGACTAGATTTCTCTCCCTGCACTATATAATTCCGGCGTATGTTGTGTATAATGGATCAGTTTGACGATTTGGATCTGCGGCCCGCTCGCGCGACAATCATTAGTAACTCTCGTTTGTTTCGTCTTCTTCTTTTTTTTTGTTTTATTTTGCTTTGTTTTGTTTTCGCATATATATAATACGCTACGACACTTATTGAGCGTGGTCTTACGACGTAAACTAGGCGATGATTAATTTGAAATACCGCGGAGCGACACACATCGTTTCTTCGTTTTGTCTCACGTGCGACGACGCGGAAAGTTCGTCCCGGTTAGAGACGGGACTCTAATTAACGGACTCTAGCGTGTTCTTGAGCGAAGCGAGATTTTTTTTCCTTTTTTTTTGAATTAGAGAATTGGACGCGCGTCGACGGAGTCGCCGAATTCCGCCAGTAATGTGTTTCGCAAAATTCTCGGGGCACCGCTCGCCGCTCGTTTCCGCCAGCTCGTGTCATCACCTCACGCTCTGTGCGACGCCGATGTGTTTTCGTCACGAAAATCGGGTGGGCTAACTGAGCATTCGAGATAGCGATTTGGATCGTTTACGTAATCGGGACAAGCGGACAAAGTGTTGAAACATTTCCGCGAGAGCAGAACGCGCGAAAAGTACAGAATGGCGCCGCAGCGGAAGGATCGTTTCGTTCATCATCGCCCGGCGTGTTCCCTCGTTTCCTCGTTCGAGTCATTTTCAACCACCGGACCGTAAGCCAACGTCGACACGCACCTGCGAAGTCGCGAGGGAATCGCGCGGCGAACGGTGCCGAGAGACGCGAAGGCGATCCTTAAATAGAAGAGAGAGACAAAAGCGACGCTCTAAGGTAGGCGCCGCGACCAAAGTATTAGAACGTAACGTAGAGGCGCTGCTGCTCGTAGACGTAGTCGATGTTGCGTTAGTCGTCGTCGTCGAGGCCGAGGAGCTCCGGCGGTAGCCGCCTGTGCCGGCAGAACACGGTGAGGCAAAGCACTCGCACGGCCAGCCGGAACTGAGGACTCAGGGTGCCGAGAACGATCGCCTTCCAGAAGCTGTTCGCAATCCCCAGCCACACCACGGCAAAGTGTAGAAACGGTACCTGAGTGACATAAGGCCAGGTCTCGGTTATAAGATCGCTCGTAAAACATCAATTCTCCACCCGCAAGCGCCCAGTGCGACAAGTCTGGCCGCAAGTCGGCCGCAAATCATGAAGAGGTGCGCTACGCACCTCTAAGAGGCTAATCCTAATTTGGTACGACTGCCAAATAATATTATTCACAGGATGTCTTGTTGTGTTTAAAACAAGTCACACACGAAGAGAATATTATGGTTTCTTTTTATAGAAATTCTTTTCAATTTTATTATGTTTTTTTCGGTAGTTCAGAGGACCAGACTGTCAACAAAGCCCTGTCAAATCTTGCTAAGGAACGTAATAAATTTTGCTAGAAATAGCGAATTTTGCACACCTCCCGTCATTCTTCCGTGAATTTCCTATTTGACAGTCGCACCAAAGGTCCGCAATTAGGTTCTCACGGGCCGTATTTCCTTCATGTTAAATAGGTTTTTACGGAGAGCCTTTACACATATATATGAATATTTCGCAAGTCTCCGTTATTGTCCGACATTTGACGCGCCTGAGGCGTCGTGTGACAGTGCGATCCAAGACGCGAGAATTCAATTTCCACCGGTGTGATGGGAAATAAAGTTCGCTTTGAATAAATCAGAGATCGTATATTCTCATATACACACGTGGATATGACGGATAAGAGAGGGCAAGGAAAAAAGAATTCTCCTATGTCAGTTGCCCAGGCTGTACACGCTGTACGTCTCTCGTACGCGAACTTCTTATACTTATATCCCGCGTATGTCGAGCATTCTCTATCAGCCTGCTCGGCTTTGCAAACGAGTCGACCTACATTTTTAATCGCGTCATTTTCAATGCTTCCTTTGGCGAAGTTCGAGGTTATTTTTAGACTGCGCCAATGTCGAGCCACTGTCCTTAGAGTCGTCCTGATGCCGGCGCGTTTTCAGAAGTAGCGTGGCTTGTCGACGTGGCTTGTCAACGATGATCGCATGAATTATCGAGTGAAACGTTGCGAGATGTACGCGAACGGAGGAGAAGGACGAGGGAGAGAGGCCCTAACTCACCTGAGGAGGCCCATTAAGGAGCGCGTATATCCTTAATCCCGCGTACGGCGCCCAGGACAGCCAGAAAGCCAGCACCAGGACGAAAGACATGATGTGACTCGGGTTGCTCAGATTTTCCGACAGCGCGGTGGCGTACTCCTTGTCGTGGATTAGCACGCCGGACTTCAGCCGCCTCATCATGGAGAAGATGTAGAAGTACGTGTAGACGATGGTGATGACCGACGGTCCCAGCACGAGGATGGACAGCGTGATGGTGTACGCGGCCATGTTGCCCCAGTCGAGCATGCAGATGAAGGCCTCGCGATCGAAGATCGGTTTGTTGAAGCCGAGCAAGGGCGGGCAGCACATCATCGCCACGCTGATCCACGTGAAGACCATCCAGCATTGGCATCGAGTCTTCGTCTGTACGGTCTCGTACCTCAGCGGTTTCCTGCAAAGGGAGAATGTGGGCACATGGCGACTCGTCATGAATGCTCCGGCCGACCGATCGATTCGACGTTGCGTTCCTTTTTTTCTTCAACCCTCACCTGATAGCCAGATAACGATCCACGGAGATCCACATGAAGGTGTACACCGATACCGCCCAGAGCGTGACCTCCAGGTAACCGACCAGTCGGCACACGATGTCTCCGTAGACCCATCTTCGCACCAGCGCCGGATACACCGAGAACGGAACCACCAACAGACCACAGAGAAGATCTGCAGAGGCGAGCGATAGCAAGTAGTAGTTTATCACCTCGGAGGGACCTGCGCAAAAAGGAGACTTTCTTAGACCGTGATGGCTTGGCTGTGCGATTTCGTTGACGGATATGACATTTGATTTATCGACCGATTTATCGAGCAAGCCTGGACGGCTTGTGCCGCGCTCGTAACGAAGTTATTGCTACGCGGTTTCTACTGTCAAAGGGAGAGAAGAGGAAGGCTGTATACACACGGCGCACGCAAAGGTGTTTCGCGAGCGAAGGGGATGGATGCACTCGAGCGGGGCGAGAGCACGCTCGCTTGGTTGAGTCACGGCTAAAGTCAACATCATGAAAACGTAACGTTGAAAACGTGACTACAAAGCTTACTGGGAGCTTACCGCGGAAGTTGAGGTAGGTGGCGATGATGAGGAGATTCGAGAGGATGATGGCGACGCCGACCACGAAGATAAGGCCCGCCTGCATGAGAGCCTCCAACGAGGGCTCCTCCATGCCGCCACCCTTTCGAGCTGCATCCCCTCACCCGCCCTTAGATGCTTTTACCCTTCACCTTCTTCGCGTTCTTCTCACCGCCAAGTACCGGGCCCTCCGCGAAGCTTTCCACCGGCCCACCTCCAGTGGCGTCTCTGCGCGTCTCTGCCTTCTTCGTTACGCGGTCCTTCTTCTTCCTGAGCTTGCTCCGCGAATGTCTCCGCTTCTTAGGCAAATGAGTCCTCGATATCGGGTCTTCGAGGATCTTGGTATACGATCGATGTAACCGTGTCACTGCAAATGCCGGAGAATCAACGCTCGAGGGTCTGATTAGCTTAGCTCGACGCTCTTCTCCTTCTTTTCTTTCTTCCTTCATGCATGAATACATGAATACATGAATCAGAATGAATGCGTTCGTCGCGAAAATCGGTTGCGTTTAATTCTAATAGCGTAATAAGAGGAACGACTATTTATCGGGGTCAGAAATAATGAAAATTTTAGCGAACGACGACTGCTGCCGGGTCATCCTCAAGTTTGAGGTCAGTGTGTCAGCGTAACGTCGGTCGTGGACGGGGGTGACGCGGCAAAATTGAATCCCGAAGGGTAGATTGGTTGGATAACACAGCGTGTAGCGAGGGTATTGGACAAGTTTCTGGATCGTTCGTGTCGATAATACCACCCCGCCGCCGCCACCGCCATGGTCGTCGTCGCTGCCGTCGTCGTCGTATACTTTCTCTCCTTTTTTTATTTCACCGCGAAAGCCACGTAGCTCTCTTCCCTTGTGGGAGTGCACTCGCGAACGACCTGTACGACGCTTTCCCTAAGTATCGACCGCCATTCATAATTTAGCTGAGGTCGATCCTGAATGGAGGGGCGTATCGTGTAGCATTGTGTGTCGTCCGTCGCATTTCCCGAATTAAAGCGGAGCTCTCGCGTTTTATGCGCGGCCCGGATGACATGTGACACCATCGTCGACACGAAACAGGGGGTGTGAAGCGGGCGTGAATGAGAGTGAAGACGGTCCCGGGATCCTTGACATTGCATACGACACCCGTCCGAGTGCATCGCACTTTTTGCACGCGATTATCCACGACAACGGCGCTTCTTTCGATGCGTGCCGATTGCGCGTGTGATAATTAATCATGAGACTTTGAGTGCACACATACACTTGGCGCATGGTGTTCGAGTGCTCGCGATACCAAGCTTGCATTCGGACGATAACAGGGTCTCTCGACGAGAGCTCGGTAAGCGGCAAAAACAGCTTCTCCTGCGGCAGTTGTAGGAATTAATAAATGTACACACGAAAACACAAAAAAAATTTAGTCGGACTTCTGCGAAGTATAAGCGAATTTCTGCTGAAATATGAACGAGCCAGAAATTCCGGTTGGAGTTGCTAGAATTCTCTTCAAGTTGATGAAATTTCTGGTTAACCAGAGCTCGCAAGCTTCAAGTTGACAAGGTTTCCAGTTAAGCAGAACTTGCAGCTGTTTCACGTTAACTAGAAATCTTGTTAACTAGAACAGAATTTCTAGATTTCTACTCGATTCATACTTCACCGGAAGATTTCAATCAAACTTTTTCTATTTGTACGGTTGATGTTATCGGAATTCAATCGATATCATCAAGATCTTTGGCCAACTGAGACAGAATTCTGGTAGTAACTGCAGTTGGAATCTCTGAGTCGTTCACATTTCAGCAGAAGCTGCTTCGTCCAATCAAATTTTTTCCCCGTGTCCGACCGTCTTACGCGATCGACAATCGTCCAGAGAAAGTTTCACGGTCAGAATTCAAAGAGGACGGCATCGAAGATGCGATTCGTTGAGCTCGGAAGTGAACGCATTCGCGACGGCGGTCGGAATCTTCGGTCGAGCGTTTCCTCGGGCATCAGGTCGCGTTTTCCATCGGGCTGGCCTTCCAGCGAGCTCGCAACCAGCAACAATTCCAAAGCAGGTCTGACCGATGCGTGGGCGTATGCCCGCATGAAAGCGACGTAATCGACTCGAAGATCGATACGTGTCGCAATTATCGTCTATAATGTCTGCTTAATTATAAGCAAAGCGTCGACATGCGACACTCGAGACTTTGTTACATGAAAAGCAGCTTAATGAAGCCCCGTGCGTATTATGCGGCTTAAGCAATTACGTTGCTACGCTCGCTGCTCTCTCGTCTTGTCGCTACCGGTCGGTCTTCGACGGCGCGTGACTTCGCTACCGATTTTTCCTGTTTCAAGAACGGACGCAGAGAGAGAGAGAGAGAGAGAGAGAGAGAGAGAGAGAGAGAGAGAGAGAGAGAGAGAGAGAGAGAG